TCTCTGCATTTTTAAGCATTGCAGCAAAAATTGAGCACTGTTTTTGGGCCACTGTTTACTCTGGGCACACCTACCAACTCCACCATTGTAATGTCAGAATGGCACACACTGCTTCTGTAAAGTGACATCCTTCAGATAGGTGGTGGCTTTTCGAATATGCATACCCTGACAGCCTGGGCAGTTTCATGAGTGTTCTTAAAGTAAGCAGGAAGGTTTGAACCTCTTGATTTGCATGATTTTGTGGGGTTTTCTGGGTCAAGTGGATAGTGAACCATTTTTCAGAGGTCACATCTGGCTGCTTTTGGGAAGAGTAAGAGAGCCATTGTGGTTTTAATTTGTATTTCACTAGTAACTAATGATGTTGAGTACTCTTTCACATGCTTATTTGCCATTGGTATCTCTTCTTTTGTGGTGTGTGCTAAATCTTTTGGCCACTTAAAAAATTGGATTCTTGCCTAAACTGGTTTGGTCTGTGAACTGAAAGGTCCCAAGTTCAATTCCAGTCAAGGGCATGTATCTTGGTTGCAGGCACATCTCCAGTAGGGGGTGTACAAGAGGCAGCTGATTGATGATTGTCTCTCATCGATGTTTCTCTCTATCTCTCTCTATTCCTCTCTGTAAAAAATCAATAAGATATATTTTTTAAAAATTGGATTCTTTCTCTGATTTTTTTCAGAAAGCTTCCTCTTGTTACTATGAGCAGGATGGACTGAGGAGGCAAACATAAAAGCAAGGAGAGTAAGGAGGGCTGTCACTTCCACAGAGGCAAGTTTGTCATGGGTTCAATACATTGTCTGTTTTCTGGAAAAGTCAACTTTGGCCTTTTCTAACTCTTGGGCTGCTGCCAGGAGAGATTGCAAAATCTCCTGTGGGGTGGGGAGATAGCCTTGCTTCCTGGAGGCTGGTGGGGTGGATGGCACCCAGTCTGCTGAGTGCACCTCCATCTCAGCCTCTTTCTTTACCTGATGGAGTGGAGACCATGAGCAGAGAACTGCACAGGCTGGCATTCTGTGTCTGCACCAGTACAGTTAAACTGGTTACTAATATATTGAGACATTTCTCTTTTGGTTGGTAAAAAGTCTTTACCCAACCTCCCACAGATATCTGTCACTTCCTCAGTCCATTCCCTTGGGACACCTTAGACTTCCCCACATCTCAGCAACTAAAAAGGTGGGGGCCTCAGGTCTCTGATCCAGGCCTATAGCCACACCTCCTCTGATTGGGTGGTGCCTGGTATGTCAGCTATTAGACTGAATTCTGGGTATAGCTAGACTGGCTGGAGCTGGGAGGATCAGATCAGAAGGCTAAAGCTGAGGTTGAGGCTGAGGGATTGAGGAAGGATTTTCATCAAGGTGGACCCAGAGCTGGAGATTTGAAGTACTCTAACAATCTATCCATAATAATAAAAGAATAATATGCTAATTAGACAAGATAGCTGAAAGACCTTCAGGACATCCTTCTGGATGACCTTCCATACAAAGCCAGAGGAGCTGCAGTGCTGAGGGAAGCCACCGCAGCTGTGAGGGCCAAGTCCCTAGCATGAATTTTTTACATCAGGCCTCTAGTCTATACTAATGAAAGAATAATATGCCAATTAGACCCAGAGACCTTCTGGACAAAGCCATGGTGGCAGAGCTGAGGCAGAGGCTGTTAGGGTGATCAGGCCAGGAGGAAAGGGCCTGGGGGTGAGCAGGTGAGTGGGGAGGTAGTGGGGGGCAAAAAGGCTGGCAGGGGGGCAGTTGGTGGCAAGTAGTCTGACAGGCAGAGTGTTAGGAGCGATCAGGCAGGCAGGCAGGTGAAAGGTTAGGATTGCAAGAAGGATCTCAGATTGGAGAGGGCACATGCCGGGCTGAGGGACACCCACACCCCTGTGGACAAATTTTGTGCACCAGGCCAAGTGACTGTTACGACCAAACAATTGGAATGACCAGAACAACCAATTGACCAGTCGCTAAGAGAGGGAAGGAGGAGATGGGGAGGGGGAAAACACAGTGGTGGCAGGGTGTTGATGTGGTGTCGGCATCCATTCCTTTTTTGCCTGGCCCGGTGACCAGGCTCCTGACTCTACCTTTGGGCCCCAGGCTGGGTCAGTGAACCAGGATTGGTTAGTTGCAGATGTGACCCTTTTCTCAGGGGGGCTGAGGGCCAGCTTCCTCCTTGGGGCCGGCGGCCTACCTCCCATGCCTTGTCCCTCCCCCCAGCCAGCAGGTCCCAGTTGGCCCACCGCCTGCCTGCCACAGTGGTGGTGCTGCAGCAAGGGAGGAGGAGAGGGTGAGGCGGGGAACCACACGATGGTGGGGTGCTGAACGGCATCAGCATCTGGTGTCCATTCCTTCTGTGCCCAGCCCAGCAATGGTTGCCTCCTCTCCTGATCCCACCAGGGCCTTTGGGCCCTGATTGGACTGGCCCTGATTGCCAGCAAGGCCTAGAGACCCCACCTGTGCATGAATTTTGTGCACTGGGCCTCTAGTAATGATAATAATTAACATTCATTGAGCATATAGAGTATGCCAGGCAGGCATTATTCTGATAAACCTCACAAGTCCTCACAATAAACAAGACCGTTGCAGCCTCCTTCTCCCCTTCCTGCACCCCAAAGTCTGTTCCCCATGCCACGCTAGAGGGAGCCAATAAACACTGGTATCAGATCAGAGTCTTCCTGGCTCAGAGTCTCCTCTGGTCTCTGATTGTCCCTGAATGACTCTTCTGCAGCCACCTTGAGAGATCTGAGGTGCTAGCAGGGCCTACAGGGCCTGCTCTCACCATGTTCACTCCAGACCTGGTGGTGGGGAGATGGTTCTTTAGTGATAGGACTCAGCCAAGCCTGGGCAATGGCAGCCATTAGCAGTGTTAACAAAAAGCTTTTACAGCCAAAAGCTCTTCTGAAAGATTTTACTGAGCCAAATGCTAGCCAAGAAAGAACCAGGTCCTGGTGCATGCAATCTAAACCACCAGTGGCAAGGCGAGAAGGAGATGACATGTTGGCCAGGAATTTTTATACAATGAGTTTGGAGGGGAAAAAAATGTAAGTTGTTTTTAGAGAATTTACATTGGTCACAGATAAAGAGTTTGGGGGAAGTTGAGGCAGGGCTAGTTCTGGGATGGGTGCATTGTCCATAAGGAAGAAATATTTGCTCTTTTGGATTGGTTGTGGACAACAGTTCAAAAAGTTCATCTATAATAATAAAAGTGTAATATGCTAATTAGACCCATCCTTCCAGACAAAGCCGAGGCAGAAGCCCCTCAGTTGTGATGGTGGTGAGCGGGGGCTGAGGTGGTTGGTGAGTGGGGGGTGGGGGGCAGAGGGCAAGGCATAGGTGGCCACAGTCAGCGGTGGGACCAAGGCCCTTGCATGAATTTATTGCATCAGGCCTCTAGTGAGTAAATAAAAAGACAGCAGAGTCTGCCAGGTAATTCAACATTCATTCAGGAATGTGAGCAGTCTTTTGTTGTCTTTGCCATTCAGTATTTAACTGATAAACTTCTCTTGTCTCTTCCTTCCACCCATAAGCCTGCTGGAATTTAATTTAGGATGTCTCAGAATTTTCTCCTAATCAGCAGCCAGTGCTGTGTGGGCTGGACCCAGACTCTCTCCTCCAGACTCGGAATTGTCCCCTTCCCCCACTATCTCCACCCCTAGCAACAGGCCACTCAGAGTCTGTCCCATGACTAGCATCCAGGTTCCCCTTTTCTCTCCTTAGCCCAAGGAGCTGTGGGGTGTGACGCCTGGATGGAGGAGGGGAGCTTCCTGCCGCTGGCCCATCCCCCCAGTGCCCTAACCTCAGGTTCCTCCTTCCCCAGCCCCAACCCCAGCCCTCCTGCATCAGGCCTCTAGTGAGTAAATAAGAGTTTTTGTCTTCTACCTCAGTCTTCACTTCTGGCCACTTACTTATTTGGTGGAGCAGCCCAACCCAGCCCAGTGGTCATCACATCGGGCCTGCCTCATCCCAACCTCTAATCTTGTGTCTGTGATGTGTGTGTCTGTCTCACTGTCTGTTCCTCTCCCTCTTTCTCTTTTACCATCATTTTCTCCTCAATCATATATATAATTGATTTCAGAGAAGAAGGGAGAGGGAGAGAGAGATAGAAACATTAATAATGAGAGAGCATCATTGATCGGCTGCTTCCTACTGGGGATCAAATCTGAAACCTGGGCATGCGCCTTGACCAGAATCTAACCCAAGACCCTTTGGTCCACAGGCCAATGCTCTATCCACTGAGCCCAACTGGCTAGGGGTCCTCTATCTTTTATCTTGGTTCTTTTTGTTTTCTCTCTGTGGGTCAAATATCTGTCTTTGGTTCCTGGGTTCCATTTCTACCTTTATTTGTTGTGTGACCTTGGGCAAGTATCTTGATTATTTTGTAAAATGGGAATAATAAGAGCATCTATGTCCAAAGGGTGTTGTTGGGGTGAAGTGAGTTAACACTTGGGCAGAGTGCCTGCACATTAGTGCCCATGTCCTGATGGTTCTTTTTGAATATGCTCTGAATATCACAAGGTTCGGATTGTCTAATGATTACAGCTGGTGCTTATAAAATGCTGACAAGTGCCAGTCCCTGTTCTAGAAATATTAATTCATTTGATCCCACAACTCCCCTCAAAGTAGGTACTATACACTCCCCATTTTACTTGTATAAATGAGGAAACAGGCCGAGAGACTGAATGACTTGCTCAAGATTGCCCAGCCAGGAAGAGGCAGAGCTGGCTTCAACCATAGTCAGCCACTGATTCTCCTGTTACAATGTCTGACCCTTGACTGGGAAGGAGGTTGAGTTGATATACTAGTATGTACCCTTTGCCCTTCATGTCCAGCCAATGGGGGCTATAGCATTGCCCCTGGGATGTCTGGGCCTGATTCTTTCCGGTGTTATCTATCTCTGTCCCTCCTCCCCTACTGTCCCCTCCTCCTGCCACCACCCACCTCAGACTTCCTCCTTCACTTGGTTGGCCACATCCTACTGACCCTCAGACTGTAGTATCCAGCAGTGCTGCCTGCATCATGGGGGGCCTTAGACCCTTCAACAGGCTTCTGATCCTGCCTCTCCTTCTGACTGTGGGTGGTGAGTTGGGGGCTTCTGAAGCTGCCTTCTGAGCCCCTGGGCTCATCTTGGGGCAAGGCAGGGAACAGGGTGGAAAGAGAACCAAAGGGGAAGGGACAGGAGTGGTCCCCAGCTCCCAAAACCCTATGGGTCTCTCCAAGAACCTGAAACTCCAATATTTGGCTTCTAGTAGAAGCCAGCAGAGGGAGGGGCCACTGAGGGTGGTGTAAAAGGATAAGTCAGTGTAGAAGTAACACAGTCCAGTGGCCTTTGTGTCAGCCACAGGTCTTACCAGAAGTTGCTCTCTACTCTAGCTCCCTGGCTGTCAGGACCCACCCTCCCAGCTTCTATGACCACAACTTAAGTTTACTTTCTTTTTCTTTCTTCAGGTCTCAGCCCTGTCCAGTCCCAGAGCGGTAGGCCTAGACCCTGAAATACCCCTTCCTATTTCTGAAAGGCTCCCCATTTCTTCCCAATCTCTTCCAACTCCCCCTGACACGGCCTCCCAATTCCCGACTCCCATTGACCTCCTCTGACTCCTGTCCATATACATTCCCAGATTGCAACTGCTCTGTGGTGAGCCCTGGTGTGCTGGCTGGTATTGTGCTGGGGGACCTGGTACTTACCCTCCTCATCGCTCTGGCTGTATACTCTCTGGGCCGGCTAGTCCCTCGGGGGCGAGGGGTTGTGGAGGGTGAGTGGGACTGGGTGGGGATGGGACGCTGAGGACTTGCCTGGAGGGGAGGGGTAAGCTCCCAAGTCACAGTCATCCAAGGGGATGGTGATGGTTTCACATCAACTAAATAATCCCAATTTACCACCTTGTGTGCCTCTCTGCACCTGTGCCACTCTACACCACCAGCAGTGAACCGGAAACAGCGCATCACTGAGACAGAGTCACCTTACCAGGTGAGGAAACCAGCTTCTCTTTCTTCTGTCTCATTCCTGCCCTGTGCATGTCAGTCCTAAACAACCCCCACCCAAGTCCCTCTAGCACCTAGACCTTAAAGCCAGTTTCTCAGCAGCTTCTCAAACCCTTGAAGACTAATGGGGCATCTGCCCAAAACTAATTTCAATGATCAATCATGAACTTTTATGCTCAGCTTAAAATGTGTGGAGAGAAACGTCTAGGGATGGTTTGTCTTTGCAAAGGCAAATGCAGGCCTTAGCCAGAAGACAGTCTCCAAATTGTTCTGGAAAAGCCTGGACCAGGACAGGCTGATTTGCAGAAGCTCTCACCAAAGAATATAATTCAGTCTTAGCTTGGTAACTCTAAAGACTTTGGGGTTGGGAGCTTGGGGGTTGGGATCCTGCATCCCTTTGAAAAGCTAATGAAACTTGGAGACTCTTTAGAATAATCCATACAAAAAATACAAAATTGTGCATATAATCTAGGAGTGGTGCAAATAAGATCATATCCTTGAAACCCTTTTTTTAAAGAACCGTAATGTAGATCGAGGCATCTTTCCATTCCTGCCTCTCAACATCGTTCTTAACCTCTAAGGGGTCATGAGCTCCTCTCTGAATCTAATGAAGCCAAACATCCCCCTCTCCAGAAAGATGCACACCCAGACTGGCCATATGCAGATATGATTTCAGGATTCTGTATGATGCTTGCCTTTTGGGGCCAAAGACCCTCCCTTAGTAACTGTGAGCCCTAGTCTGTGAAATCTTTTACTTGTCTACAACCAGCTTTGCCTTGCCTCACTTGTGATAAAAAGTCTCTTTGTAAAGTGTAAGTCTTGAGTCTCGCTCTGTGAGGTCCATAAGACTGAAGGAGCTTTCCAGTTACTGGGAGCAGTGAAATATTAGGCAAAGCATTGCTTCACTTTATTTGTTGAGGACCTACATGTATTAGATACTGAAGACATAGCTGCAGAGCTTACATCCTAGTTGGGGAAACAGACTTGAAGCAAATTAACAAATAAGATCACTTGGGGTGTGGGGTTAAGAAACTACAGATGAAGAAATCAAGAAATGCCTTTCTGAGGAAGTGATATGAGCTAAGACTTGAAGGGGAGGATGGAATCATCCATGTAATACTTAGGGGACCAGTATTCTAAGCAGAGAAACAGTATGTGCAATAGCTCTGAGGCTGGGGCCTAATGATGAGGCAGAGGGGAAAGGGGAACTTTGAAGACATCTGAATAAAAACTAGATTTCTAACATGGCTGCAAGGTTGAAGAAGTCACCGGGGCCTTGCAGGCCACTGGGAGAAGGTTGGATTTTGTTTTAAGTTCATTTGGCAGACCCTTCCACTAATGGTTGCCACCCTGTCCAAACCTTTAGGAACTCCAAGGTCAGAGGTCGGACGTCTACAGTGACCTCAACACACAGAGGCAGTATTACAAATGAGCCCAAACCACGGCAGTCAACAACCCAATGTCTGGATCCAGCCATTCCTGATGCCTGCTCAGCACCCTATTCCTACTCCCACCAAGTACCGATCTACAGAGTGGCCTCTCTGAGATATCAGACTTTCCCTGTCCCCTACCCCCTGCCCCCAAATAAACATGGAACACAAAACACTATGGAGTTATTGCAGTTCTCTGGGCTGAGGGGATGGGGATATTTGGTTCTGGGAGAGTAGGTCGTGGGCCCAGAAACAGTTAAATGGGAGGGAGGCTTTGGGGATCCTGGGTTCTTTGAGGAAGAATTAGAAGTAGAGGTATTAATATTTTGGTTGATTTATTGACATTGAATAGGTTTCCTGTGCCACCACGCACAATCCAGGATGAGAGGGTCAGAAGTCAGAGGTCCCAGTTACAGGAGGTCAGCCCCTACCAGGCATGTTGATGTAGACTTTGCCATCTTCTGGGGGTGGGGAAAAGAAAGCATGAGGCCTGACCACCCACCACCCACCCACACCTCCACCTCCTCGGGGACCTCCTGCTTCAGGGGTTTCCTCAGGAGTTCCCCCAGCAGGGTCCCCAGGGTTTCCCCAGCAGCACCTCTAGGGCTTCCCCCAGAGCACCCCTCCATGGGGACCTCTTCCCTAGGGACACCACCCCCAGTCCAGGCCCTGCCCTCACCTTGGGTGGGCCTGTCACGTGGTCTGGCACATATAAACACCACCACCACGATTAGCAGAGACACCACAGCATCAGCAGCCACAAGGCCTGCCAGAAGTGGCAGGGAGAGGGGACCACATCCGGAACAGGAACCTAGAGGGTGGGGGCCAAAATAAGGTGGCAGAGGGGGATTCCAGGCTTTGAGGGCTGTGCTGTGGGCATATGGGCAGAAGTTCCTGATGGGTGACCAATTCCCTGGGGTTGCACATGGGGGGTGAAAAGGGAGATGGAGATCCAGAGAGAGGGTATTCAAGCATATTGAGACATATGCGAGGCTTTGGGCATAGTGGGCACTCCTGAAGAGAGGCTGGGGTTGGCCAAGTCCCTGGGGCTTCGAATTGCTGCAGAGATGGGAATCTGGAGAGCCACTGTGGGTATTCCAGGATCCTCAAGCTATAATTTAGGGATGGAAACAGTACCTGATGTAGCAAGGCAAAGGGGAAGGAGTTTTGATTTCTCACCTGGAGCTATCTGAGCTGCAGCCACTGTGGGAAGAGAGAGAACATAATCGGTGGGAGAGGTGGTCCCCAAAATAGAGTGCAGGTGATGTGCTGAGAAGTAAGCTCCACTCCAAAAGATCAAATGAGAAAGAGCGGCCAAATGGTAGGGGAGCTCCCAGAAAAGCAGAGACAGGAAATCAGAAGCAGAGATCCAGCAGTGAGAAGGGGAGATTAATAGGTAGGCACTCCAGAACTCAGCTTCCCTCCCCAAGGAACCAAGCCCAGAAGCCAAATGGATCTCCCGGAAAAGAAGGGGCACTGGGAGAAGGATCTGCTCTCAGCACCCCTCCCTTCAGATACCACCCCAGCCACTTCTTTCACAAATAGTCACTCCCCCCCCCCCAGCCCCACCCGATAACTGCTGGCTTCACCTGGGAGCAAAAGCAGGAGCAGGATGTTGCCCGGAGGGAGCATGGTTGGGGGCTGGAAGGGATTTGGTCCAGAGAGGTTCTGAGGAAGAGTGGGGGAGTAGAGAGACAGCAAAAGCGGATGTCACCCTGCTGGTAGCAAGGCCAACTGCTTCCTGTGGGGGTGGAGGCGGGCGGGGGAGGGGGGAAATGAAGATAGGGAAGAGGTGGTGGGTCCTTCTGACTGCCTTTGGGGACAAACTGGGGGAAGGGACAGAGACTAGGGAAGTTGTTATGATTGTCCAGGTGGGAGGTAACAGGTGGGACAGGGTGTGGGCACTGGGGAGACTCTGGAAAGATTTGGGAGGTAGAGCCAACAAAACTTGTAGATGGAGTAGATAAGGTTGTGTGTGCCTGTGTGTGTGTGTGTGTGTGTGTGTGTGTGTGTGTGTGTGTGTGTGAGAGAGAGAGAGAGAGAGAGAGAGAGAGAGAGAGAGAGAGAGATCCAGGATGACCAAAGCTTATGGCTTAAGCAACTGAAAAGATGGAGCATCCTTTGACAGGATGGGGGAGGGGAAGCAGGGGGGAGGTAAGTACTGGAGGTTAGAGTACACTGAGTTGGAAATGCCTGATAGACCTTCCTGTGGAGAAATTGAATGACCACAGCTGCCTCAGGGGATGAATCTCACCTGGAGATGTAAATTTGGGGGTTGATGGCTTATGGATGGTTTTAAAGTCACCAGATTGGATGAGATTGCCAAGGAAGTGAGTACAGATGGAGACTTCCCAACACTCACACATCTCCTCCCCTCCAAAAATGCTGAAGAGGAAGAAACAGCCAAGGAAACTGAAACTGAAGAGCAGCAAATGGAGAACCCCAGCAGAGCATGAAAGCAGGGGAGCCAGGCAGTTAACGTTGTCCATCAGTGCTGTGAACAAGCACCAAGCTGGGAGCTGAGAAAGCCTCTCCCTGGAGTCAGTCAGCTTGAGCGGGGGAATTGCGGCCTTAGTTCACAGCTGAACACAGCACCCGGCAAAGTACTTCGGTAATACGTTATTTTAAATGAATGTATGAGAACTGACCTCTGAAAAAAAGGGGGGGGGGGGGCGGAATTTGAGTCTACCTTTATCACTATTACCTGCAGACTTTTCTTCCCTGGAGACCAGGAAGTCCGGACCCCCAGGCCTCTCCTCCCTCAGGACCCAGTACTATAGCCCCACAGCGGCCCAGCCTAGGAGTCGCGGTCTCCAGCACCCCAGGTCAGAGACGAAGTCCAGGCCTCCAGGGCCCTCCGTCAGGAGTCCAAAATCCCAGCCCCTTTTTCCTCAGACCAGGGTATGGAGCCCCGCTCTCTGGATACGTTGGGGTCGGGGCTCAAGGTCAGCCCAGCCCCTTCAAGGCCTGTGTTTGCCAGAGCGAGACGCGGGGACTCCCGGGCTGTGGGCGGGGCCACCAGGACGGGCGGCGCCAGACCCCATTTAAACACTCGAGGCTAGCGGGACCCAGGATCGGGGACCCAGCGGCGGTGGCTGCGCGGGTAACAGCGAGGCTGGCGCAGCGCCGAGGCCGGGGCCCTGGGGGCCCGCAGTCCGCCCAGCGGAACCCCAGAGGTAATGGAAGGGTGGAGGAGTGAGGGGCTGGGAGTCGGACTCGAAACCCTGGGTCCTGAGACTGAGGGTGCCCGGTGTTTGGAGGGGAGACTGGGCCCGCATTCCGGGGTCGAGCTAGAGGAGCGCTTGCGCTTCTGGACTCCAGCGCGCGGGGGGAGGGGACTGGGATCAGGGCTCCTGGGCGCGGGGGGAGGGGACTGGGATCAGGGCTCCTGGGCGCGGGGGGAGGGGACTGGGATCAGGGCTCCTGGGCGCGGGGGAGGGGACTGGGATCAGGGCTCCTGGGTGCGGGGGGAGGGGACTGGGATCAGGGCTCCTGGGCGCCGGGGGAGAGGGGCTGGCGGCTGGATTCCTTCCCCTAGAAATCCCTGGCGGAATGGGCGCCTGGGGGCGTGGTAGTTTAATTCAGCCACGGGTCTCGGTGGGAAAGGTCGCGCCCGGCTGCAGGGTCTGTGCGGGCGATGCCTGCGCCCCCTCCCCCGCCCGAGACTTCCGAGTCGGCCTCCGCTGGCCGGGAATTCCCCTCGCGTGGGGATTCCGCGAGCGCCAAGCTCGGCCGCCCAACCCGCCTCCGAGCGGACACCTGGCTCCGCGGCGGGAAGGGGAAGCGGAAGGTTCCCTTGCGTGTGCGCCGTGGCGTCAGCGCGTCGCGGCGTCAGAGCGTCGCCCCCGAGCGGCTTCCGAGTCCGGCCGCCCCCGCCCTCTTAACCCTTCCTCGGCCGGAACCCGGAGGGAGGGTGCGGAACTCCTGGGTCTTCCCGAGGCTGAGCTGGGGACAGTGGCTGCGGAGAGCGCTGGGAGGCCTGGTTTCCCTCGGAGGATCAGGGCGGCTTGTTGGGAGGAGACGTTGGGAACCTGGGCCCGGGCTGTGATGCCAGACAACCCCCGAGGCCTCAGGACCTGGAGGTCTGGAGGGGGGAATTTTTTGCGGAAGTCGTGGGGGGGGTGGTGGCAGAGGGCATCCTCCTCCCCCGTCCTCAGTTTCCACGACGCTGGTGGAAAGTTGGCTCAGAGGGGAAAGTGCGGAGCAAAAGGAAGGAAACAGCGGAGGCGGACGCCGCACCCGAAACCGTAGATTGGTTTTGGAGTTCTCGGGTGACATCAGTGTGCCAGTTTTCCCATGCGGGACAGCGAGGAGCGGCTCAAATCCCCAGTCCCCAACTTGTGTTCTGATGACTTCTCTCCCCTCTGCACCCCTTCACCCTCCCCTCCTCCCCGCAGTGAGCCGTCATGAGCGCAGCCACTGCCCATCACAGACGGTGAAAAAGCTCCTGGAAGAACAGAGGCGCCGCCAGCAGCAGCCTGACGCCGGTGGGGCACCGGTGAGGCCCATGAAGCCCTGTCCACTGCTCTTCGGAGGCCCTGTCCTGTTGGGCGGGGGCTTGTTGGCTTGCTGGGCCCTCAGGAATGATGAGATGCAGTCCTGCCTTAGACATCCTGGAGCTGGGGAGCAGATGTTGAAGAATCTCCAGAGAAATTCAACCATGTGCCTTTTTCCTTATGTCTCTACAGGGACAGTTCCCCCCTCCCCTGGCCCAGCCCCTGATTCCATCTGTGAACGAGGGGGAGGTTGGTAAGTCTGGAAACTCACCTGCTTCCTTCAGCTCCAGCTTCCTCTGGGACTCACATCCCCATTTTTAGAACTTGGGGGAACTTTAGGAGTCAGGCCCTGATTCTTGCCAGGACCCAGTGGAAGTTTGATCTTCCAGAGATTTTCTGCAGCCCAGTAGTCTAAGCATATAGTCCTTTGGTGCCTTTCTGGGAGTCTAGACTCTCAACCCTTCAGCATCCTAGGAATCCAGGTCCCAGAAGTCCAACCTTCCAACCCCTTGGTATCCCAGAATTCTAAGCCCTAGAAGTACAAGGTACTTTCAGTACCTTGGGAGATTCCAGGTCCTTCAGTCTTGGCTGTGACTTTCCTCACTTTGGTAACCAGACCTGCCCCTGCTCCTCCTCTCACCTGCAGGCCATACTCACTTCCCAGGCCACCAGGAGGCTGTGGGTTCTGGACTTGGCAGCCTGGCCCCAACCACAGGCCTTCCAGACTGGAGCCCCAACACCCATGCTGCCTACACAGACAGCGCCTACTCTTATCCTACTTCTGCTGCTGAAAGTTTCCTGACTTCTGACTTCTGCCCATTCTCGGACCCAGGGCAGCCATATTCATTTCTCCTGGGGATGGAGGTGAGATACAGAGTGGGAACAGAATGCTGAAAGGCCCCCAAAGTCCCCAGTTACCTTCATGCGGTACTCTGAGTTGTCTGGGCCTGGGTTAAGATCCAGTTCCTCAGATAGGCAAAACTAAGGCCCAAAGGTCTAAGTTCACTTGGCACAGATGGGACACGCAGCCCCTTTACCTGGTTCTCTGAATGAGTATGTGTGTGGTGGGTTGGGTTGGGAAGAGGGAATCCTCAGCTGACTGCCTCTCCTCACCACCTGCCCCCTTCAGGACCCCCTGGATACCCAGCTTTATGCAGAACCTTCCCTGCCACAGGTGGGATCCTGGAAAGGTTCTGGACTCCCCTCGCGACCCCCTCAGTTACCCTCTTTGGTCACTGGACCATCCCTGGACACAGCTCGTGCTCATATGCTGGCCTTGGGGCCACAGCGGCTACTGGCCCAAGACGAGGAGGGAGACACGTGAGTATAAGAGGATAGAGTCTGTGGGCTCATGGCTTGGCTGGGCATCTGTACTAACCACTGTTCCCACCTGTCCTCAGGTTCCTGCACCTATTCGCAGCTCGGGGGCTGCGTTGGGCAGCATACGCTGCAGCTGAGGTGCTCCAAAAGTATAGACATCTGGACATTCGTGAGCATAAGGGCAAGGTGAGGGCCAAGGGCTTGGATTACTGAATCTGAGGGCAGAGGGTCCGGGGACCTGGATCCTTTGGAAGGGGCTGGGCTCAGTCTGACATCTCCTTTCACTTGCAGACTCCTCTCCTGGTGGCTGCTGCTGCCAACCAGCCTCTGATTGTGGAGGATCTACTGAACCTGGGAGCGGAGCCTAATGCTACTGACCATCAGGGACGTTCTGTCTTGCATGTGGCTGCTACCTATGGCCTCCCAGGAGTCCTCTCGGTATGGCTGTGGTAGATGGGGTCATTGATTGCCCATATTCTGGCTTCTAGGACTGGGAGGTCTGGGGAGATCCTAATTTAGCTCCTCGTTCTCTTCTTCCCAGGCTGTGATTAACTCAGGGGTTCGGGTTGACTTGGAAGCCAGAGACTTTGAGGGTAAGTTGGGTTGTGGGCAGGGCGGGTGCAGCAGTTGGGGCAGGGTGGGTGCTCCAGATGCCAAGCCCTCACTGTCTCCATTCCACAGGACTCACCCCCCTCCATACAGCCATCCTGGCTCTCAACGTTGCTATGGTTTCACCTGACCCCTGTCCCCGGGTGCTGAGTATTCAGGCCCGAGACCGGCTGTCTTGCGTCCAAATGTTGCTGCATATGGGTGCTGACCACACCAGCCAGGTGAGCTGGGTTATGGGAAGCCAGTCCCTAGGAGGACTTGGGGGATGAGGGCATCTGGATGCCCAGGGGCTCCAAACAAACACTGATGTTATCACTTCCCAGCTACGTGTCCATGTCTGGGAGCACATTACTTTATTTCTTTGTGCCCAGTTGTCAATTGGAAGTAATGTTGACCTGAGCTTATATTTATCATGCACTGAATTTCATAGGGCATTGAATTCTCACAAACCCTGTTTAATGCATGTGCTGTTATTTCTCTATTTTACTGATAAAGAGACTGAAGCACAAGATGTCAAAAAATGTTGTTGTTTTTTTTAAATATTTTATTGATTTTTTACAGAGAGGAAGGAAGAGATATAGAGAGCTAGAAACGCCAATGAGAGAGAAACATCAACCAGCTGCCTCCTGCACACCCCCCACTGGGGATGTGCCCGCAACTCAGGTACATGCCCTTGACTGGAATTGAACCCGGACCCTTCAGTTCACAGACCGACGCTCTACCACTGAGCCAAACCGGTTTCGGCAAGATATCAAAAATCTTATAGCTTGTGAGTGTCAGAGAGATTAGACCCAGGAAGTCTGATCCCAGAATTGAGCTCTTAATTGTTATATTATCCTCTCACTTCATGAGCTAGCTGAGAGAATTAAACATCTACATATCACTTTTGGAGTTGTTTTTTATTGTTGATGTTAAATTTTAACATAGATAAAGTACAGAAAATAATATAATGAATATAATGTACCAAACAAACATCAATAATATGCAACTCATAGCCATTCTGTCCCATCTATTCCTCCACTTAGCTATATTACTTTTAAGCAAATCCAAGCAAGTTTATCTATAAATATTTGTGTATCTTTAAAATCATTATTCCACCTTAAAAATAATGAACAATTATTTTTATTTTTATTTCATGTCAATTATTCTAGCTTTATTCAAATTTCGTTTGTCTCTAAAGTGACATACATTTTTTTTTCATTAAAAGACACATAGATCAAAATAAAGCTCACATATTGCAATATGTTTGTTTGAATTTATTTTTAATTGATTTTAGAGAAAGGAAGGAAGATATAAACATCAGTTGGTTGCCTCCCACTGGGAATTGAACCGGCAACCATTTGGTGCATAGGATGGTGCTCAACCGAGTCACACCAGCCAGGAAGCAATGATAATGCCTTTTAAGTCACTCTTAATAGAGAGCTTCCCCCTCCATCTCTGTTTTCTCTTCATAATTTATTTGGTGAGCCAACTAGGTTGTTTTGCTCTGTATAAATAACTAACATTTTTAATGTTTATTATCACTCTTTAAAGGCACATATTAAAGTTTCATTGTGGAAAAAGGCTTACTTAACTTCAAAAGTGAGAATAGCTTAATATGGAAATGGATAAAGGCTTAGTTTAGTCCACTAAGTAATGTTGCTCAACTCCCATCCTTGTAATAAAGTGCCACCCATATAAGATTTAGGTACAATTTACTATGCCTAAAAGAATGTGGGGTGGCCAAGAAAGCTGCTAGCCCAGAGAACATCTTGGAGGATTAGAAAGAAGCCTTTTGTAGGACACTTGGGTTGGAAATTTATTTTAATAAATGTAAAGTTCTATGATTTGTGTGATGTGAATGGCACTCCCTTAAATTTTGAATAGTGCACAGTCCATACAACTGTATAAGGCAGTCCTTATACAGAGGAGAGGCAGGGTGTCTACAGGCTCTGGGCTCTGTGATAGGGGGCATGAGTGTGAGGACTGGCCTGACCTCAGCTATACCCCTCCCCACAGGAGATCAAGAGCAACAAGACTGTTCTGCATTTGGCTGTGCAGGCCGCCAACACCGTCCTAGTTCAGCTGCTGCTGGAGCTGCCACAGGGAGACCTGAGGGCCTTTGTCAACATGAAGGTAGGGTTCTAGTCAAGAATGTGGAGATTAAGAGATGACAGAGAGGGCAGTGGGATGTTGGGGGTCCTCTGGGCTGTGACTGCAGGGGGAATATTGTAGGTTCTGGAATGTGAAAGTGGTGTATGGGATGTCTATGTGAAGGGAGAAAATGTGCACTGTGGATGTTGCAGAATGTGCAGTGTGGTTTTGAGGGCTCAGGTTGGCTGAGTCTGAATCCTTATCAGTCCTCCCCTCACTGTCCCCAGGCCCATGGGAACACAGCCCTCCACATGGCAGCTGCCCTGCCTCCTGGGCCACACCAGGAGGCCATAGTGCGTCACCTGTTGGCAGCCGGGGCAGATCCAGCACTCAGAAACCTGGAGAATGAGCAGCCCATCCACTTGTTGCGGCCTGGGCCGGGCCCTGAGGGGGTGAGCATTGAGTGACCTCTGACCTAACTGGGTAAATCCCTGACCCTACACATTCATGATCTTAGAGGTAATCTCAGAAGGTGATCTTAACCAACCCTGACCCCAAAATAGGACCTCTACTTATAACCCTGAATCCTGACCTCAGGGAATAACCTTTGATTCACAAGTATGACCTCCAATCCCTTGCCCATAATCCTGAATCCTGATATCAAAGTAGGACTCCTGACCCCCAAATGAGACCTCTGGCCCCATGTCCCTACCCTTCAACTCCCAGCCCTCTATGCAAACCCAAAGGAGGGAAGTCCAATCAGCAACAGCTTCCCTTTATCCCCAGTTCTGGCTCTGAGCCTTTTTACCCTCAATTCCAAATCTTGACTGAACCTCTGATTGTCAAACCCAAATGACCCCACTCAACTTTTCTTCTTTAACCTCTAACTTAACCAGCTGTGCCTCCCCCACCTCTCCTTGCAACCTCCAAGTCATCTCCCTCTGCCTTGTCTTGTTCACAGCTCCGGCAGCTGTTGAAGAGGAGCCGCGTGGCACCCCAAGGCCTGTCCTCTTAGGACTCAAAACCCAGAACCTGGACTGATTTTCCAGTCCCCACCGTCCTGTGGGACAGCCAGCGTATGCTAATGTTGCAAATCCATGATAATGTATGTGGAATGTCCTGCCATTGGGGTCTTACATTAAAACCTCAAAGTGGCTGCTGTGGTGGGAGTAAACAGTCCCCAATATTTGGGGTGATGTACTATCCCTCTCCCACCCATAAGGAGTCCCCTTGATGATTTCTGTGAAATTGAGGCCCCTTGATTGTTTCTGTGAAACACCCAGAACACCTACCCCTATCCTCACTTAGCTCTTCATACCCGGAACCTGAGATGCAATTCCCCTACATGGTACTTGGGGCACCCCAAAACAGCTCCCAGTATTACCCTAAAAGAGTTTTTAAGATGAACCCCCAACCTCTTCAGGTCTTTAATATTAAGTCCTACTGCTTTCTAATTCAGAATTCAACCAAACCCTTATCTCAGACCTTTGCATTTCCAATGAATCTCTTGATGAAACTTCCTATTAAATTCAATTTGGCCCCGGCTGGTGTGGCTCAGTAATTGAGCCTTGACCTATGAACCAAGATGTTACCACTTTGATTCCTGGTCAGGGTCCCCAGTAGAGGGCCTGTAGGAGGCAGCCGATGAATGATATTTATCATTGATGTTTCTATCTCTCTGTCTCCCTCTCTCAAAATTAAATAAAAACAGATTTAAACTCAATTTGACTAGAACTGTTGTCATCTTATCTCCGGAGGCACTGGTATTGGGAGTGCCTAGCTGAGAAGTAGTGTTTGAGTGAATGTGCCTGGGTGGCTGCATGTAGCAGATACTGTGGGTGCCAAGTCCATGTCTCATCACCCTCACCCTATCAATACATGGTGGTTTGAGTACCAGTGCCAGCACATGAAGCTTTGCCTGGGCATTCTCCGACCCTTGGTGCCTGCAATGCCCCAGATATGAATATGGCAAGCCTTCAGTGCCAGGGAATTCATGCAACTTCCCACTCTTAACAGCCCTCAGCCAGTGACTTTTATGTTTTTGTTACCATAAATTATCCTTTTTTATGCTGTGCATTTATTTCCAAATTGCAGTAGCAATTGTCCTTTATTTTAATACTTTTACCTCTTTTTAACATTTATGTTATATTTAAGTGTTTAATATCCTATTGTGAGCAAGAGTTGCAGTTTCCTGCTTCTGTCTGTTAGTCATCTTACAGTTTTATGTCCTTCTGTCCTTTTGTTTTCAGGTAAATCGGAACCTTTTAGCATTACTTGTAATGCAAGTAAATTCCCTCAGCTTCTGTTTGTGTGGGAAAGTCTTTATTTCTCCTTCAGATCTAAAGGATAATTTGCTAGATATATTTTTCTTGGCTGGTGATTTCTCTTTCAATATTTTGAATATTTGATTCCATTCTCTCCTAGCTTGTAGTTCCTGCTGAAAAATTTGATGATAATCTAATTGGGTTTCCTTTATAGGTTTCCATCTTCTTTTCTCTGACTGCCTTGAGAATTCTTTCTTTGTCATTAATTTTTGACAGCTTTGCTATAATGTGCTTTGCAGAAGGCCTTTTTATATTGTGATAATTAGGTGTTCTGTTAGCTTCTTTGTCTTGAGGTTCAGTTCTTTCCATAAGTTTGATGAGTTTAATGTCAATTATTTGTTTGAATAGACACTCTCTTCCTTTCTCCCTCTCTTCTTTATCTGTTATAACTATTATTTTTAAATGTTTATTTCTAAATTACAATTTACACAATATTATTTTGTATTAGTTTCAGGTGTATAGCATAGTGGTTAGACAATCATATACAGGGCTTCCAGGCAAGATGGTGGCATAGGTAAATGCGGTATTCACATCCTCTCACAACCACATCAAATTTACAACTAAACTATAGAACAACTATTCAAAATTGCCTGAAATCTAGCTGAACAGAAGTCCTATAGCTAAGGATATAAAGAAGAAGCCACCTCAAGATTAGTAGGAGGGGCTGAGACCCAGAACAGGTTGGTCCCCACCCACGTTGTGGTGATTAAGAATTGGGAGCGATATCTCAGCTGTCCCAGCACAACACCAGATCTCCAGCCTTAGGCTCCAGTGCCAGGAATAGAAGTCCTCATTACTTCTGGTTGTAAAAACCAGTGGGGATTATGGCTGTGTGAGGCAGGACTGCTGGAGTCCCTGGTGTTTCTCTTTAAGACATATATATATATATATATATATATATATATATATATATATATATACAATTTCTTGTTTTCTTCTTTATGGGTCTGCATACGGACTTACTCAGACTCATTTGTTCTGAGCTCCAGCGCTGGGGCAGCAGCTTGAAAGGAACCAGGGACATACAGGGAGGAACTAAATTGCCTGGCATCATGGCAAGAGCTGGAGGGGCAGCTTTCTTCCAGACTGAAGTGCTGGCAGAGGCCATTTTTCCTTTTCTGAGCCCTCTCCCAACAGCCTTCACGCAGGCACCATATCTGAGTTTCCATCAACCTGGCTATTACTGCCCTTCCCTAGTGATTCCCTGAGACTCTGCCTCACCCAACTTTTGGGCCCACCCAAGCTGTTTCCAGTGGCTTTTCCATACAAATGGCCCATCTTTGCTCATCTTTCAGACTTCTTTAAAATCTCTCAAATAGCACCTGGCCTTTGTGTACCCCATACCTCTTTCTAAGTGTCCCCAGGCTGGCACTAGTGGCAGCTGGCCTAAGTTTGCAGCTTGGCCTCTCTTGGGCACCTCCCAGCCCAGCACAAATAGCAATCATTTGAAGCTCACTTTGTGGCTCATGCTGGGTGGCCTTGGTCAGAACACAGGTGGCAGTTGATTTTTTTACTGCACCTCCCAGGAGGCCCCAGAACCAGTGCACCCAGTAGACACTTTCAAACCACATCAAAGCACCATTCAACAACCTCTATATAAGGTTCTCCCTCTTCCCAACTGGTGGGCGGAGTTATGACATTACTGGCACCTGTCACAGAGACGTCTCCAAGACATTGAGCCATCAATCAGCACGTGCCAAAGTGTCCTGGAGCCCACCCCTTCCTATTCTGCCCTGGGTCCAACCCTCTCCTGTTCCTCTCCTTAAAAAGACCCCCAGACCAGCCACGTGCTGCTGATCCTCCATGTCCAGGTGGCTGCCCGGCTGGGTCCATCTCCCCTCCCAACTCCTTCAATTCTGATTTCTCTACCTCCGTAATGAGTCCCGCTCATTACTGGGGAATAAACTTTACTTTAAAACTCCTTGGTGGTCAGTTTCCTGCGCCTCAAACCTTAAACTGTACAAGCAACATACTCAAGGTGGGGCCTCTGCACAGCTGACCCTCCACATACTCATAGCCAGTTCTTGCAATCAGCCTGGGGGTAAATTCCTCCCATTGATATGCCAAGAGCAACCAAGGCTCAACTACAACAGGAGCATGCACACAGCCCATATTGGGGTGGGGGTGGGGGGTTCTCTGGCATGCTCAGCTTAGGTGAATGGGAAGGCTATGCCACTGAACTCTACAAGATACCTGTTAAGGTAAGGAACATTCAAAGCTGTGAAGAATTTTTTTTTGTGAGTTTATTTGAGCCAAATTGTCAATAATTACTGAGAAGCAAAATCTCAATGGATTGAGATAATGCTCCAGAGAATGGCAGTTTTGCACCGTTCTATACATTACAATCAAAAGAGGAGATATAAGTGGGTTACATGAAATCCATTGGTGATAGATTAGGGAGGTGGGAGAAAGCAAAGTGGGGAAACCTCTGGGACTAGATAAAAAGTAAAATGATAGACACATCTGTGAAAGAAAAGAGCCACATGCCAAACTCAGGGAAGGCCTGTGTGGCAGTCTTGCAAACCCAGAGACCCAAGATAACCACAAAAGATAGTTTGAAAATTTAATATCTAACTACAAACAGGTTATAGTGGGTAGTCATGTCCCAGATATTTCACCTGAGCCCATCTGCCTTCCAGCCTCTAAGATAACTTATCTGTGAGATATCTGGGTAACTTGTAACTTTCTTTTTACCCCAACCCCCTCAGGGCACAACAAATGGCCTGAAGACATTCCCTCATTGTTATTATTATCAAGTTAATTGTCAACTGTTAATTACCTTAGAGTATCTATATCCATCTCTGTAAAAGAAGCTCATGTCCATCATTTAACCTTTTACCCTATCCCAGAGGTTTCCCAGCTTCGCTCTGTCCCACCTCCCTAATCTATCACCAATGAATTTCATGTAACTCACCTACGTCCCTTTCCTTTAATTGCAATGTATAAATATAGAAATATAACCCGCCATTCTCCCGAGCATTATCTCAATCCGTTGAGGTTCTGCTTCCCGGCATAACTCGACAGTTTGGCTCAAATAAACTCACTAAAATTCTTTACAGGTTTCAATGATTTTTTTTGTTAACACATCTTTTACTTAGGTAGATGCAGGATAGTTAACAGTTAACTCAATAACAATGATGGGATTTGTGGTCTCTGCATAGCAGTGTCTGTGCTTTGAGAGGTCTAGAAAAAGAAAAATTACCTTGACATTACAATGATATATGTTATTGTAAATGCAAAAAAGATAATAGGCTCAGTTAAGGTAAAGATTGACCTTTGTCAGGGAAAATAATAGTCTAGGACATGACCATTCTCTATAAACTGCTTTATTAATTAAAAAATTTTCAGTTCAGCCGAAACCAGTTTGGCTCAACGGATATAGAGTGTCGGCTTAGGGACTGAAGGGTCCCGGGTTCAATTCCAGTCAAGGGCATGTACCTTGGTTGCGGGCATATCCCCAGTAGGGGGTGTGCAAGAGGTAGCTGATCGATGTCTCTCTCTCATTGATGTTTCTAACTATCTCTCTCCCTCTCTGTACAAAATCAATAAAATATATTTTTAAAAATTTTTTTTCAGTTCAGCCTAAGCCAATTTGGCTCAGTGGATAGCGTATTGGCCTGTAGACCAAATGGCCCCAGGTTTGATTCTGGTCAAGGGCACATCCTCGGTTACAGGCTCTTCCCCGGCCCAG